TTTCTTTGAGCTGAGACGCTTGCAAATTGTACTCATTGCTGGCATAAAAATATTTTCTTACATTTTGCTGAATACTTTATGATTTGATCTCTTGTTAATTTTATTAAACACCAAGTGTAACTGTAAGATTAAGAAGTTTGTAAAATTATTCACGCGCTCATTACAAATATTAATATAAATTATACGATTTAGACTATTTAAAGTTTCCATACAAACGCTGCTTATAAAAACCTAGTTGCTCCACAACTTTGCTTTTCGCCTTAAATGTTATTAAACAGATCGTTGATTATTGTTCTTTCTCAAGTACCACAGATAAGCCTTCTGTGCCGCGGACGCCGATTTATACATGAGATTCAAAAGATAATCTAGGCGTAAACAATGAATACATAATTTCAGTAATACATTTAAAAAATACAAAATTACGTATCAAAATGCAATACATTGCGCTAAATCTCGTTTCTTAATCTTTGCCTTAGACGCATCAGTCGCGTCGCGACAATTTGTCCTGCGAATAGTATTTTTTTTATGTTACAGGAGGCAGACGGGCAGGAGGCTCATCTGATGTTAAGTGATACCGCCGCCCATGGACATTCGCACTGCCAGAAGGCTCGCAAGCGCGCTGCTTTTAAGAATTGGTACGCTCTTTTCTTGAAGGACCCTAAGTCGAATTGGTTCCGAAATACTTTAGTGGGCAGCTGGTTCCACATAGTGGTGGTGCGTGGCAGAAATTGCCTTAAGAATCGCTAAGTTGTGGAACGACGGACGTCAAGGTGATACGGATGGTATTTTGTATTCTGCCTTGACGTCCGATGATGAAACATAGTAGAACAGTTATAGATTCACTGGCTTCACATCAGTGGTTCAAAGGTGCGATCTCTAATCGCACTTCCAGCCAATAGGCCAACATTGCTCAAAACTTTACACTGCAATATATTGTTTGACTTGACTCGTAAGTAGCAACATTTGAAACCTATGGTACATGACGTCACTATAATTACTAAGGTTTTTTTATTAATCTACTGTTTACATAAATAAAAACATATTAATGCTCTATTACAAATTCCATATACGGTTTTAGTGAAAAGGTAATATTTGTATTAAAATGTTATTTTTTGTTACGTTAATGATATTCATAATATTATTAGGTGGGAAATTGTTAAATCAGGGAACCAAATATGTTTGCGCCGTAGTACTTTGTAAGATAATCAAAGTAAAAAATAGCCGCAATTTCAAAGCATTTTACTACGTAGAATTTAACTACTCTTACCTGACAATCTCAACAAAAGTAAAATGAAATTTTTAAAGTGGTTTCACAAGCGCAGCTAAATGACATATTTATCGTGGAACGTCAGACGCAATGGGTACTCTCATGAGACACACTTAAAATGACGCAGAAAAATGCCTTGTTAAATACTAGATGGTAAACGGAAGTTTTATTTTAAGCAGAAGGCAATGTTGCCATTTTCTTCTATGTATTATTATTGTTAAATAAGTCGACGATGAAAATTTTAATCAATTTATGTTCCAAATTATAAGTAGTGAAAATGAAGTATTTTTGAAGTTATACTTCTTTAGACGCGTTATGAAAAATTGATGAGAGTGAAATTTTACGATGCGCGCGCACCGTGACACAAAATTATCAGTATGAAGTTGCCCACGGAAGATGCTACGGCATTGGACATCATCATCATCACTATTTTTTAAAATAAGAAAGATAATTAATGCAAACGATTAATATTTGATGGATAATTATTTGCCGCCTGATTTGTGATTAACAATCGTTTACCGTCAGAGTAGACGCTATGTGTTAGATACTATGCTGCTCATGGTCTAGAGTTTTTATCTCAAAGCAAACTTTTCATTCAAGATAATCTTGCCAAAAAACAAGTATAAAAAAATCACTCCAAATGTGCTATAATGTAGCTATTATAATAAATTTAAAAAATATCAGCAAGAACATTTTATGTTCACAGGCTATGAAGAGTTTCCCTCAAAAATTAATTTACACAATACTATATATCAAAAACACGTGTTACCTAAAAGGAAAGCTTAATGAACTCATAACGGCTGATTTAATATCAGACATTCAACTACATTAGCGATAAAGGGCGTGTACATTATGTCAATTTGAATATAGAATTTTAACTTTTTGCCCACCCTTTTACCAGCGCTGGTACTTTTCAAACAGCGATTAAAATTTTGGCTTTGTGGAGATCAGAAGTTTGTGACATTAGCGTTACGGATATTTTAAGACCTACATATATCGAAATTGCATACAAAATCGGGATCAGAATCTCTATTTATTATTAAGCTGCCGTGAAAGCCCTTAGTACAAACTATTCGTATCATCGAACAGTTAACGTAATGAAATAATTAGGAGATTTGCTCTTTGATCAGCCTATGGGCGAATGTAACAAAAGAGGTGCATGAATATATTTCCAATTGCAATAAGAAACTATAAGAAACTTGTTATCACGTTCTATCGTTGTATGAAACATTGATTATTTGCCGCTTAAAACGATGGAGATAATATCTCCATCGTTTAAATTTAAAAATTCAGGCTTTCACGAAACATTTTCAACTAGTATCCTGTTAGGTGAAAGATTTCCAAAAGCCCTTCCTAAGTGAAGGATTTATCGATTAGAACGCTTTATCAATCGTTTAATTTCTTAAACTAATATAGAAAAATACCCATTGACAGAAATCTAAAGCCCATATCTAAAAGGCTGTAGCTTTTAGATATGGGCCTCAGATTTCTGTATCTGTATCATGTCATTTGTTTTTCTTGGCAAGTGATCTGCCTTCTGTGGCTGACACGCCGTCGACTTTTTAATTATAAGACATGCCGGTTTCTTCACGATGGTTTCCTTCGCCATACGAGCCAGTGTAAAATGCGCACATAGGAAGTCCATTGGTGCACAGCCGTGGATCGATACCTTAAGGATGAGAGTCAAGAACCTAGGACAACACTGCTGACAACTTTTAATATATAGAAAGATGCCAATTATAGAGAAGTTTTTATACAAATTTTACGATTTTGTACTTTCATCTACTATATAAAATAAGAGAAGTTTTCACGTCTGATTTTGGGTATGTTTAAGCAAGGACAAACATCGCATTGTAAACTGATCCTTACATGAGATTGAATTTAGTTATTTACAAGCGAATATCATTTGCACTTGTATACGCACAGATTGCGTTATTAATTAACTATTCACAATATGGAAATTTTGTGATAACTTCTATATTGTACGTACATTTGAATGTTTTGTGTGTATTAACGGTATTAAAGTAAAAGCTTTTACACATATTTAGGAAGTTTATTCCAGTGCTAACTGCTCTTTTCTATTATTAAAAAAAAACTCAAGACTTATAATAATAACAAACTTCTTATAGGTATATAAAGTCATCCTAAAGCCCATTTGGACATATGGCCTCCAACTGTGGGGCAGCGCAAGTGATACCAACATAAATATACTCCAGCGACAACAGAACAAGATCCTAAGAGCAGTTGCAAAAGTACCATGGTACATAACCAACGACGAAGTTCACGAACACCTTAAAATGAGAACTATCAAATAGGAAATCCGGAGACTGGCAGCTAAATACAAAGAGCGGTTAAGCTGTCACCCGAATGAACTTGCTCGCCAACTCACCATTAGACAGTATGTGAGTCGACTAAAACGTCACCATATTCTAGAGCAAGAAGACCGGCAGTAGCTCTAGAGTCTAGACAGAAGATGAGTAGATGCTTCCAATGGGAAGTCACTCCACATGACAGCACCACAGAAAAAAATCGCTCATAGCCTTAGGGCTGATTGCAAATAACCATAGAATTTTTTTTTTAAGAAACAGTCATAAAGGCGCCGTAGTAATATTTATGACTAATACATAATAAGGCTAAGTCATTCAATATTTACTCGCTCTTTTCTATAGTGTATTAACGAGATATATGAGAAGTTATATGAATGTAGGGATGACGAAAAAGCACACATATTATATCTGTAAAACGAGAGAAGTAATAATGAGACTTCTACTAAAATATGTAGACATCTGACTGTGAAGAATATTAGCTATCAATTTATCCAGATATATTGATGGTGATTAATATTATATATGTATGATTAATAGAATAGACACTGCAAGCGTTTTACATATTTCTTAAGGTGGGAACTGACCAAAGTTACGAGGTGTATGTAACACGTTACACAGCGAGCATTCGTGCAGTCAGTACGTCGTGTTACGGGGAAACCAGCGAGCGAACTCAAAGCGAGCAACGAGCGGCTCCACCCGGCTGTCGGTTTTTTTGGCGAATCCTTTGACTGTACGCGGTTCAGTCAGTACGCGGCGCACGTCGAGAGTGATCATGATTATGATTTTCTATAAATTGTGTCTTTTTTAAGTACTTTTGGTCCAATTATATTCAACAGTTCTTCAGAATCGAGACATGCGTACATAGTTTTTATACTGTCCAGTAATCATTTGATTTTTTTAAATTGCTATCAATGACAAACCACCACATACGCCTCTGTTTTTAAGTAAGTTTGATGTCCAGAAACGTTTTTTCTTCTTCTTAATTTGGATGAAACAATATTTAAGTAGAATCAAAGATACCAACGCGTCCTCGCTGTCGGCCATCTTGTTAACACTAGCGGCGAAAGCGGAGCACAGAGTTTTGACGAGCATGTTACGCCGATTTTAAAACACAGCGTAACATGCTCTATGCGTAACACACTCGTTGCGAATGCTACATTACACCTCGTAACTTTGGTCAGTTCCCACCTTTAGACGTATATATGTGAAATGATTTAGTACAAAATAACACAAAATTCCAGCTTAAGGTTTTTAAAATGTATCTGTTCGGTAATATAAATAACTTGTCCAATTGGGCACCGTTTTTACATCGTAAACACAATTTGGCAGAAAGAGACAAAAAAGTACTTCAGTTACTGTACATTATTAATTAAATTTAGTTTATAGAAATATGTTTGTATACGTACCTTATAAGTATATTGATCCTGGCCGGTAAATTTGCCCAAATATAAAATCGAATCGCTCTGAAACTCTATATCTTGTATAGAATCATCGTCAGATTCTTCTTCCAACTCCTTACAGTTCACGTAAATTTTTACTTTATTTTTTTCGATTCGAATAAAAACGTCAATCCAATCCATATCGTTGATGTCGTCTGCATACCGTCCTTGGTTTTTTATACCTAGTCCTTCTATGTATATTCTTATCGTACGTTCTGAAGCAATATCAAAGCATAGAGCGATGTTGGAGATACCATTTGTCATAATGGAAAAAATGCACCACGCTGTAGACTGTAAGTCTATTTTAATGATCGCTTGGAAGTTGTATGGCATTGTAAGCGTTTTCAATGGTGGATCAAAATCTTTAACACGCATCGCTATCGTGTCATTCGCCTTAATTTGAATTGCATCGAAGCCATCTCTTCCGGTTACAAGGTCAAAAACATCGGTTGAATTTTTTAAGTCCCTAAAGTTCTTTAGTATGTTGAATTCCTCTGGAATAGAAATGAGTTCATTCGTCATTATCTTCATTTAAATAACAATATAATCTAATTAATAATAAATTATAGTTCGTGATAAAAATATATTTATTTTATAAAACTCATCTTTATTTTATTATAATGTATTATCACCTTTCATAATAAATAATAATATATAGATTTAATATGTTTTGTTTTTAACTAGCTTTTTTCCTTTTGTTTCCTTTTGATGTATTTGTTAATGTTTTCTCGCGTGTAGTTTCCCTAACTTTTACTTGAAACTGGCATAAAGTTAATCTTGTTTTTTTTCAAAATAACAAGGCTTTTCTACATATGTATTCAAGTATGCGACCTCTTTAGGGTATTGTTTTTTTTAAATTTATAGTGCTCAAAAACATTAATTATATATAATTATATCTAAATATTATAGAAACTTACCCAAATAAGAACTCACTGAATTGTTTAGCAAACAGCATATGACCATGTACCTATAAAATGAAATCGTAATTATATATAAGATATATATGTATATATCTTTAGTTATGTAACTAATATGACGGCGCATCTGTCAACGTCAGACATCAGGTTGACTTTTAACTGATAAAGTCAGCCTAGCGAAGCGTAATTGTCGATGGTTGAGAGAGCGGCCATCTTGACAACAACAGTTCGAGACGGCGCTCGCACACCACGCTTGTGACGAATCGCTTTGCATACGAGTGATAGTTTAATCTAGTGTTATAATTAAGTTGATGTCGTGTTGTACTGTACATTGCTCATTTGACTGTGTATTTCGATTATTAAACCCTGTGCTGATTAAACAACTGTAATTGTAACAAGGACTTGTGATATTTCTGCTCCCGCCCACCTGCCTACCTACCTACCCATATACATCACACAAGATGAGTTCTGATGAAGGCCCTCCTGCTCCTACAAATATATAAAAATTACTTCTTTAACATTTTATTTTGTAAAAACAAACAAAAAAAAATGGCTATAATTGAAATCGTTATAAAATTGATTTAATCACACAATTTAACCTCAATGCTTATTTAAACTTTAGTTGCCGGGTACGTGAATTTGAACATATGATTTCCATATTATCCTTAACTGTGTTAAATTTCTCAAGTCGTACTAATTTACCTTCGTTAGACATCTTTAGTTATGATTATCATGCACAATTACCATGTTATTATTCACATACAGATTATGGGTGTGGCTCAGAAGTTGTTGATAAATAAATTGGTACACACAAGCACTTTTCAGGTTGGTAGAAGTCATTTTCAAAAAGCTATCCATCCGATTACCGACCCTTATGTAATTCTATGGGGTATTTTCTCATAAGAAGACCTTTTGACACCTCAATAATCATGATTGGTCCAAAAAAAGATCAAAAACCTCCTTGAATTTTATTTAAATTGTAAGAAAATGTTATTCGCTATCTTCTCAACGCATCTTTCACGTTTAGTCGTATCACTCATGTTTAGTAGAGATTACTGGTTAAAATGCTATAAATGTGCAATATTTTATAACGATTTTAGTTGAAATTGAGAAAGTTAAACAGTAGCAATACTACAAGTCAAACCGTATAATCATTAAAATAAAATTTATAAGATTTTCTTACGAGTATATTAGTACGAGGTCCAGCTGCAAGATCACAACGTTTATCCTGCAATCTAAATGTAATTTTTAAATGAGGAAATCTATTTTTGCCCAGATGTCAGTTATATGGAAATATTTTTAGTGTTCTAAATTTAAACTTATCTGTTCTTATTTTTCTTACTCACGCCAGTTTTAATAACAGCTACATACGTGCCCGACACAGGCATATTTTTTTTGTAAATAACTTGGTTGCACTGTGCAAGTACCTTATAGATATACACACGGACACTTGGTACTCACAAACTTTTCTAATGTACTAGTGTGTTTCTTCAGTATTGGATCACATATTCCCTGGCCCCATAAGGAAAGCTCCTTGAATGTGACAGTGTAGATATTTAACACATGTTAAATTAGATATTCATATGAGGTTTGATGAACGCTTCTATCGGGTAATCACCTTAGGTACCTTGATTACATATTATGTACGAGATTTATACGACTTATATAAATATATAAAACAAAGTCGTGTTAGTCACACCACTTATAACTCAAGATCGGCTGGACCGATGTTAGTTTTTCTTTGGTGGATTCTTCTCCACTCCGAATAGCAGGATAAGAAATGTAATATCGGAAAAAAATTCGAATAAAAATAAATTAATTTTACGAATGCAAACAGCATATGGGGCCATCTGTCGACAAAATTAAGTATATAAAAGAAACCTACTTTCTTCTTGCGCCGGATAACAAAACAAAAAATATTGTATATCAGAAAGTGCTTTAACATGCAGTATCGCAATATTGGCCCTAGAGAGGAGAGACATAACGTGGAAAACTGCAATTCTTTTTTCGCAATTAAACAATAAAACATTTCTGTATTTGCAAAAAAAGTTATTACCTTAATGAAATCCTTAATTAAGTTTAACTAAATTTAACACGATATTATTAGACTGTTAGGCGGAACGAAGTTCGCCGGGTCCGCTAGTACGAGTATAATATATAATAATTAACGATTAGGCTAAAAAATATACCGTGAATACGATCTATTTTTACTCCAAAGTGGCAACCAACTTAGTAATATCTGTATTATATAATTTAAATCCAGTGTTAAATTTTAACTTGAAAATTGTTCAATAACAATTTCATGCTTTTTTTGAAGTGAAACTTTTTTAGGCGCATAAAAGGGTAAAATTTATACGGATGAAACGTCACGAAGATGAACAGCGTTTTTGTGAAAGAAAAGGGAGAGAGCGATTGAGACCGATTGAGAGAGAGTGAGAAGGGCGAATTACCTTATAATTTTTAAATTATGAAATATTAGTATTTTATGAAGAATAATTTATTGGAATCTCAAATGACTAGTTGTAAATTAAAATGCCACGTGTTTTCAGTATCTAAAATAAATTAAAAAAAAATAAACGTATAATTTTTTTAATTTTAATTTTAATAACAATTAAATTCCTAACATATCTTTATTTTTCCCTCCCTCTAAGTCTCGGAAATCTAAAGGTTTATAAATATGAAACAGACTTAAAAATTAGTTTGCCAAAGAAGTTTCACTTCTGACATGTACTTTGTACGCACGCACTTTTTTTAAATATAACTGAAGATTATTGTCCTATTATTCCAATAACCAGTGAAACGCCACCATATTCCGGTTTTCACTCGTTAAAAAACGAGAAAATTTTCATTGATTATCCACGCGTGGTCCTTTTAATGTATGGTTGAATGTAGTAAACAATCATAGTAAAGTTTAGACGACTCATTGGTCTAGTGGTTAGCACCCCTGACTGCGAAACCATGGGTCCCGGGTTCGATCCCCGGCTGAGACGAACATCGATGTGATGAGCATTTGATGTTGTGCTTAGGTCTTGGGTGTTTAAATATGTATTTATATGTCTATCTATGTATAATATGTATGTATATCCGTTGCCAAGTACCCATAACACAAGCTTCACCAGCTTAGCATGGGACTAGGTCAATTGGTGTGAATTGTCTTTTAAAAAAAAAAAAAAAAAGAAGCAGTAATACGAAAATAAATTGGGTAGATGTAACCTCAAAAATACTTTATACCTTAATAACTCATAGAATGCAACAAGCTTCGTTGATATAAAGTTAAACGAATAAAACCTGCTTCGTCGCTAAAATATAGGCTTATTACTAAGTAACGGGTCTTTAATATCACTTACGCCAATCTGGTTCTTGTAATAACATCGTCAACCTGCTTTAAAAAAGGAAATCTTGGGCCGTTTTCATAAAATAGAGTATAATATAATAAGTTAATTTAGTATTTTGTTGTTTTAAAGAAGCTTTATTTACGTAATAAAAATTTTAATAATTATATTTTCGACCCTAGTTAAAATATAAGGTACCTACGTGATAAAAACATTCCTACAAACAAAAGACAGTGGAGGGAAGTTGTCCCATTATAAAGCGACTTCTACAATCCACGCTTAGAAACAATTCGATATCACCGATATTTAAAGAACAATTACGTTAATTAATGGGGTATAATGAGAACCATCTCTGTATACCCCATTAATTAAACGTTAATGAATGGGGTATATTGAGAAACATCTTCTAAAGACTAAAAATATTTGAAATCCAGTCACTGTCGTAGTTACAACTACGTCATGAAGTTGGAGAAACCAAATGTAATATTAGTATACCTTTCGTACTATAAAATAATCTATACAATACCGGTTTTATATGTACTTTTTTCACAATAACACAAAAATACGGAGTAATAATAACCTAAATAAAGATATCTAAAGCTCCTTTGTGTATTCCGAGTGGGCAATTTGTTCATAGAAATGTTTCTTCAAAGGTTTCAAGAGCAGATGAAACTCTATCTAAGGTTGAATCAGGGTTTCGAGCCCAATGAAGGCTAGTTTCGAATAAGAGCTATCGCAATCATAGATTATATGATTTTTACAAAATATAATATATTTAGCTTGCATGGAGTTGTATTACAGCTTAAGTTTGTTACAACGCAGGTTTATAAATAAATATTAAAAACCAAAATATATTCCCTACAGTAAATTCAATGTATAGAACAAACAACTGTTTATTTTAACTGATAAGAACATGCTAACTTAATTGATGAGAAAAGTGGACTACATACACGTGTGCAAAAGCTATATATTATAATAATATATTATTCAAAAATATATACTGTTATTGTATTGCGCATTTCCGAATTACTTATTTGCAGCAAAAAATATCTCTTAAAATTTGGGTTTTCGCATTAATGATTGGAATTTGGATTAACATAGCATATGTGCAGTTCTCCATAATGTCTTTGTACATTTAGTATATTGGCATGAAAACTGAATTGTCATGCTAATGCTGCGACGTCTCCAAGGGCTTTCGCAGCGAAATAATTCTGTATTTTAAAACATCTTTGAAAATTTTATTTTAATATATTTCGTATAATAGATTTAATAA